CACGTCGTACATCGAGGAATATCCAGTAAGAGGTCGCGCTTTGCCGTTGGTGAAAGGGGGGTCGCAAAACGTAGGGGTAGACGGGGTGAGGAGGGAGGTCGTAGCAGAGGAGGAAATTTCGGGGCGGAGGATTGTGTTTTGCAGAAATTTCCCTAGCAGGGCACGTACTCTGTTGTCTATGTGGTGTGCAGGTTCCAAATCGCAGAAGCTCCGCCCCTTCTAGCGGTTCAAAAGCGCGCACCAAACGATACTGTAGGCTCTTATCCTAGGCACAGTAGGTGCACACTCATCCAGCTCAAGATTGATTGATCGTCCACCACAAGAGAGATATGGAATGATAAGGGTCCCAAGGGTAAAAGAAAGGGGTGATATTGCTATGTCATAGAAGAACGACTCGTCCGAACACGCCTTCTCTACGCCTATGTTCGCGCACTACTTGAAATTAGTGTATTTTATTAGGAGCGTTCTCAAAGATTTCTGCTGCATTTTTTTATCGCCCGTCCATTACCGCGCACATTTTTGCTTTTGAACCCAGCGCCTTAATGGATGGGTGAAATTTACATTTCAAATCAGCTGATGACTACATCGGTCCGAATGATATCAGGTCTCAAGATTTATCCGCGGTTCATGAAAAACAACCACTTTACAGAATCTTTAATGCAACCAGTGCTAATGGCTTTCCCATATGGCCGTTTTTCGTGTGAATCTTTATTCGCAACGCCTTTTTCCATTAATTCATAGAAATCACTAGGGGTTTGGACGAGAGAAGAATTTCCTGTGAGATTCACAGCGTTGTCACAAGAAGTTCCATAAATATTGTGGTTCTTCGGGATAAAATCGTGAATAAACAGCATGATACGTAGGCTGAGGTGAGGTAACTGAACTGACCCACAAGTGCGTTGAGTCAACGGGTTAGGTGTGCTACATTGCGCGCGACGCCTCATTCTGAACTTCACTCCTGAGCGTCACGATTTGGCGCAGAAGGCAGACCATCATTATGTCACGATTTTGGGATGACTTTGGTGGAGGGAAAGGAAGTCACAACACGTCGTGACTTCCTTTCCCTCCACCAAAGTCATCCCAAAATCCTCTAATCTCACCAAGATAAAATAAAATGACAATAGTAAGTCTTGAGAAGTTTTTGCATTTGTTCCAAAGCTGAAAAATATTCCAAAGTTACTTTTAATGCCGATTTACTTCATCATTTTTGCTAATTTATTAAGGGGGGGGGGTCAATCCAAAGAAGT